AACATAGTTATGTCTTCAAAAGTGGAGTTTGGGGTGGGCGGTTTCTGTGGAATTAATCATATGTTCTGTTGTTCACTTCTACACAGGACCCTCTGTTCTATGACCGCGTTAAGTGAAATTGCAACTGTATATATATATATATATATATATATATATATATATATATATATATATATATATATATATATATATATATATATATATATATATATATATATATATATATATATATATATATATATATATATATATATATATATATATATATATATATATATATATCCCTCGGTTATGAATTCGGTTAACGATTTGCAATATAAGATTGCTTAACCCCAACGAGCAATCTCGGTTAACGATTTTTCATTGACAACATGTTTTAAACACATTTGGCGGTCCACCAGCTTTAGTATTAGTCCGCCAATACATTAATCGGTTCTAGGGCTTAAATTCCTTACTATTTTAGTAAATATCAAGAAGTTTATACTATTCAATAATTTTAATAGTTTAATATTCAATTTTTTAGTCATTTTAACAATTATTGAACATAACTGAAGGTAAAGTGACTAGTTTAATGCGCGGCATCCAGCCTCTTAACACAGCAAACAGGAGTTAGTCTCTCTGTTTTCACTGGAGGTAACATCTTGCTTGAGACTCTCTTCAACTAAACGCTTTTTTCTGTGTTTCCAAGCAAATTATTGGTCAGTTTGAAATATATTTTACATATTGACAATATATAATGCAGTGCAGTGTTGATTTAAAGAAAATAATCTTGAATTACACCAAGAGAGCTAAAATTTTATGGGTGAAATGGCACCATGGGGTGACTTCTCCTCCACCCCAATGCCATCTCTTTTTCCTTCTCCTCCACCCCCATTCTAAATCCCATCATCATCATCCAGGAGCCTTCTACGTACACACCTCAAAGTAAGTGAACTTTTCTACCACTTTTGTTGAATTTAGGAAATTTTCGGTGAGCTGGAACCAATTACCCAAAAACCCATTGAAACAATGGTTTCGGTTAACGAACTTTTCGGTTAACAAACGACCTTCTGGAACGGATTGAGTTCGTTAACGGAGGGGTCACTGTATATATATATATATATATATATACATATATACTGTATTTTTCGGCTTGGAAGACGCTGCATCATGGAAGACGCACCTTGATTTTGGAAATGAAATTCTAAAAAAAAAAAATTACGGGTTTTAGTCCACCTGGGCACAGGTCACTGACCCACATTGGGGCCTAGGGGGCGAAAATGTAATAATAATAATAATAATAATAATAATAATAATAATAATAATAATAATAATAAAGAAATACAAAAATTAAAAAAAATATCAAGAGTGAGAAACAATATACCTGTATGTATGTTGTGTTGTCAAAGTAAGAGAAACCATTGAGACCCTGCAGAAAGTCAGATCATCAATCTGGGACTTGGTCTCATAGCAGCAGGGTCTACCATTAGACAATACATTATGCTTCCAATATCTTCCCAGACGGTAGTGCCTCCTTGTTTGGTACATTAGCTGCCTAATACCTCCACCAGTGTAACCGTTGCTTGATATACAGCCCTTTTGGCACAAGTACACACACCTCTTTGAATATCATCACTTAGAACTGCTTATCAGTCGTCATTTTCATCAATTTAAAAAAAAATCTGTATAAGAAGGTGAAGTCTTTACTACAGCACTCATTTTATACACCTGGTCACCTCCACATCTTAGGGGCTGTAGTGTTTACATTCTTTCTTTTGTTTTTGTCGGTATGACAACGACGGAAAATATTTTCCAACAGTAGAAGGTAAGCAAATGTAAACATGTATATCAACGTCTATATAAAACATAAAATCTTTATTTAAAAACAAAATATAAGTAAAAAAAACAACTCGTTTTTTGCAAAACCAATGACTGATTGGTTCTACATAATTATAAAACTGAAGAAAATAAGTCCTCCATTGTAGCTGTATTAAAATTAATGTAGAAAAATTAATATGGTTGTTTTAAGTACAGTTGTACCCCGCTTTACGCGGTCAATTGAACCCACAGGGTACTGCGTTAAGTGAAAACCGCGTTAAGTGAACAACAGAACAAACTTTTTTATCCTCTTCGCCACTGATCGGCTTGTTAGCCGCTTGGGCGATCGGTCACGTCTCTTTTCCTTTATATTCGTCACCAAAAGGTCGGCTCGCTAGCCGCCCGGGCGATCGGTCACGTCTCTGTCACGCACTGTTGGCAAATACTGGGCATGCACCGGCTCCTGAATGTACCTGAACCCGCTCCAGTGTTGGCCAAGTCTTCTCTTGAAAGAGCTCACACTCGGTGCCGTCACAACACTCTCTGGTAGATTGTTCCAAGAGTTTACAACCCTCACTCCGAAAAAGTTTGCCCTCACGGTTTTCCGGACTTGCGGCTTCGTCAATCTTGAGCTGTGACCCCTTGTGGGGCGAGCGTCCGCCAGCTCCAAGTAAGGACACTCGACTGAGTAGTGCCCCCTGAGATGCTTATAAACCTCAACTAGGTCCCCCCTTGCCCGTCTGTAGTATAAGCTAGGCAAGTTCAGGCGCTCCAATCTCTCAGGGTAGCTGAGATGCCGAAGTGCAGGCACCAGTTTGGTGGTGCATATGGGATTAATTCCAATAGAGACTGGCCCGACCCCCAAACTCCACTTTTTGACGACACACAACTATGTTGTAGTAAAAATTTTATCTTAACTTTATGATGGTATGAACAAACAAGTAATATAGAAGAGGTTAGGTTAGGAAAAATAAAGGTTAAGTTAGGAAAAATAAAGGTTAGGTTAGGAAAACTAAAAGTTAGGTGTAACACTTACGTTAGTAGAAGACACACACTGCGCAACCTTACAGCGCGGCTTACCCTCTGACTTCAACTTCAGGTAAAATAATTCACCATTTCAGTTGACCTTAAATTCTTTCTTTTGATCTTTCTCTGCACTTGGTAGTTTTTAAGCCCAATTCAGAGTTTTGAGGTCTGGAAATTACCTCAAAATGCATGGAGTAAATATTTAATTTTCACTGTAAAACAAGGAGCAGTGACACCTATTGTAGAATGTTTTAATTTTAATTCATCTGTATCATGAATGGTTCTCTTTCCTCAGAACTGAGAAGTAATTTAAAGGTTTGAATTTCTGTGTTGTTTGGTCAGCAATTAAACTAATGCTAAAATGCTGCTAAATTAAGGCTTACAACCTCACAAACTTCATTTCTGAAATTAGACAGCTGAGGTTTGTATATTTTATCTGTCTTACTAGGTACTGTACTACACAGTCTGTGGACAAAAAATTCTTCTCAGCATAGGTAAAGGAGGCTGTAACAATCTGCACAACACAAGGAAGGAAGCATCTAAAATTAGTTATACAGGTCCACCACCGATTTTCCAGCACCCTTGGTTCCAAAGCCTTGCCAGATTATACATTTTGGCGCACCAACCGAGGTCAGGTAATAATAAATCAACAATACACCTCTGACCCACTAATTATACACCTCCTGTGTCTCTAAAGCACCATGGACTGCTAGAAACTTAAATTAAACAAATGTTAAATATAAATTAAATGTGAAAAAGCCAAAACTTTGACCAACTTTACTGTACACACTTTGTACTCAAATGTACTGCACTAAAGGGCTAAAAACATTTACTTCTCGTGCAAACTAAGTGATGTTTATACTCAAATTAATCACTAAATTACAAGGATTCCAGCAATTCAATTTATATTCTGCTAAGTTTAGTCTGCGACATTTTATAAGATAAAAACTTTAAGCCGAAAACTGAAGAGGATTTAAAAAAAAAATCACTCTGGCTGGGAGAAAGGGGGAGGGGGGATTTTTTTTTTACTGCAGTATATATTTTATATAGGTGTTGACAGCTGTCAGGGAGGGGAGATAACAAAGTGTGTAGTTATCAAATACTGTAGAGGGAGTTTAGGTTTTCCCTTATAAAATGTCGCTTAATTGACTTGGCAGTATATAACTGGCATTGCTGTAATTCTTGTAAGATAAAAATTGTAGTAATTAACTTAGTACATTTGAATACAGGTTTGCCCTTCGGACATTTATTTCTTTTACGTTTTTTCACAATATATATATTTAGGATGGTGTGTGCATGTAAATGAGTAAAAATAAATGAAGAAAGTTACGTACCGTTTATCTTCCCGAACATATGAGTTAAAATTTTATTACTCAAATGTACTACACTAGACTAAATTTTTTATCTCTTGTGCAAACTATGTGATGTTTATACTCAAATTAATCACTATACTGTATTACAAGGATTCAAGCAATTTAATTTATATCCTGCTAAGTCTAGTCAGTTACATTTTATAAGATAAAAACTTAAAGCCTAAAGCTGCCTTCACCCAGGCTTGGAGGGAGGGAAGTTAAGTGCCCTCTAGTAATTTTGTCCGGACTAAAGGAGGTGCCGGACCGTCAGTTCCCAGTGGTGTATCTGTACTCTTAACTTTTCTGTATCTATTTGATCTTAGCTTTTTCCCAGTTGGAGGTGGATGTAGCATACTTCTTTTCAACACCTCTTTCCCATATCTAGCAGGCTTTTGTAAAACACTGGTCACTCACAGGGTTTGTAATAATAAATGGAGAATTGAATCATAGAGAATCATAGAATCCCATTTTAAGTGAGAATATAGAGTAGTGTGTAACTCATGGCCCTTCTTCCAAATAGAAATGTTCCAGGGTATGGGAGGCATGTTCTCTGTGCTGGAAATGTGTTGACATAATGTGCATGCAGGTCCACGACTTATTAACCATTCCGGTTTTTTAAGACCCTTTAGGGTGGAGATACAGTAGCTGGGCACAGCAATTATTTCAATAGCTCATTGTCTCATTAACAAGGAGCCAAATGGACTCTGGCACCATAGATCTGAATTTTGGGATTCAGTCCTCCATTTTCAGGAACTTTTCTTGTATAAGGATTGTTTTTGGTTTCTATAAGACTGTTGCTTAATGCTGTAAATATAACTTTTTCAGTTTCTACGGCCAAAGATGCTAGGCATGGAAGTTAACAAAAAGAAAGTGGAGGAGTTCCAGGGTCAAATGGAAACTGTTCTAAAGCAGTTTGAGACTGTTTGGCTCAAAGACCAACCTTTCATTGCTGGGAATCAGGCCACAATCGCTGACCTCCTGGCTGCTTGTGAATTAGAACAACCCGGTAAGTTAGAAGAGTCTTCTCTCTCTCTCCATTTCTTTTTTCTTTAATATTTTATTAGTACAGTAGAACCTCTCTAGTTTGCATACTACTGGAACATACCATTTGGTGTTCATGTGAATTTTGCAAATGGACTTCGGAATCATGAACTCAGAATATAAGATACTTACAATACTTCTGTTTTGATCCAGAAACCATGAACATACAGTCTCTCCTCGACTTATGACATATTCGACTTACGACAACCCGGACATACGACTGCCATGGTCGTATAAAATATTTTTCACATTACGTATTTTCGAGTCCCAACGTTTGGTCGTAATGTGATGCCGTACGACAGCTTGGGCCGGGCCGCCTCGTGGTGTACAGCATCCACGGCGTAGCCCGCTCACAGTTGTTGTTTGGCCGTCGTTAGTGATCGCGCTGTGTACTGACAAAATTTACGTTTGTAATTCCATTTAAAATGACTGGCAAGCGTAAAAGTGAGAGTTCTCGTGGTGCTGAGAAGAAAAGGAGACACCCATTTTAGATTTTTTCTATGTATTTTCGCATTTTGGACGACCAATTCGACTTAGACTGTACTAAATAATTACTCAAATTTTTATGTCTAGTGCAAATTATAGCATGATTATATTCAAATTAATCACTATCTTACAAGAATCCCAGCAATGTAAGTTATAATCTCCCAGGTCAGTTCAGTGACAATTTACAAGAGAAAAACTTAGTCACTCTAAAGGACATAAATAAATACGCACTAGACCTTCGGCGCCAACTGTCACAATACATCACCTCTCCTCCGCCTCCCTCTCCCTCCTCTGTAATGATAGGGAACTTAGTAGAAATGTATAAATAATAGTAAGAAGTTATTAGTTGTAGGATATAGTGAGGAAGTTTGGTAGTGTGGCCGATTAGTTATTTAGCTGTTTATATATATTTTTAGGGGGAATTTTCTAAACACCACTTCTCAGTACAGCTATTTATTAATTAACTCACAGACACATTAATAGATCAATATATCGAAGTTGCCAGACACTGACTCTCGGACACAAACATGAAATGGATCGCTCTGACAATGACTCACGTATGACCTGAGGGAGGCCCACCTGGTGCTGCTGGACTATGTCTCCTGTGGGAGACTCTGCTAGCTGGGGCTCCGGTGCTGGGGAGGGAAGTCTCCCTCTGGGGAGGAGCTGTCGGCCTTTTCCCTATTACAATGATGATCCGAATGCTAATGTTTTAGGAGGGAGCTGCAGGGCCTATATATTGACATTCTCCAACCGGAAGATGTCATCACTAATCTGGGTGTCTCTGGTCAGGTGACAGGTGTACTGGCTGGAGGACAGCTTCTTGAGTAACTCGGTCATGTCGCCGGGTTAAGCTAGTCGCGTGGCGGCGAGAGATCTGGGTCAATGAAACCGTGACCTCTCCTTGGGTCAGGTCTGGACAGCTGTGTTTTCCCAGGTTGACTCGGGTTCCTTGTCCGTGACCTCTCCTGGGTCGGGTCTTGCTGTCACTGTAGGGTGTGTCAACTTGCGTGGGTTACCACATGGGCATCTACTTACTGTTGTTGTATTTCGCTGGGTTGTAAGCTGTGGTCTGATAAACAATCATTACACCTCCTGCTAAGACCAAAGCTTACATACCAGAGAACTGATGACACAGATAGACAGTAATATCATGTGCTGTATCTAATATAGCCCCTGAGGCGATAATGCATCCTCACATTTTACAAACAACAACCTGGTATGTATGTTTTTCTACTGGGGTGGTTTGATCTGACAAAACTTACTATACCTCCCGCCAAGATCAAAGCTTTTATGCCAGGAGAAAATACACTTACACAGTAAGTGATCATAGTAGGAGCTTAACTGAGCTAAAGAACCTACATATCTAGCATAGTATCCGAGAAAAAACTTGCAAATTACATTCTACAAACAATAGCAGGTGTTACATGGTCTTGCCAGCCCATGTCAAAATAATGAGTAGCCCAATTAGTAATGTGGCTACAACATTGCATTAGGTAATCCAAAACATTGATCAAATGAACTCATAGAAAAAGTGACTAAACTTTCTTTAATCAGAAAAAAATATCTCTAGTAAATGTTATTAGTTGTCACAGAATTAAATACTTCAAAATACACAAAAAAGGTCGCCTACTTCCACATGTTCGGGTGTTTTTTCTCTTTTTAAAAGCATTACAGTAAAGCCTCGAATAATGATGTTAATGTGTCCTCCAATATTGCAGTGTAAGGTGAATCGTCTTATCGTGACTCTTTAATTACCGTTAAAATAAAGCAATAATAATGAGATGTGTTCCCAAGTGTGACCTTTTCATATCTTTTGTGTGGCTTTTTACCCTCTTTTCCCCCCAAACAATACAATTAATGAAAATTACAAACTATATTCTTTAAATAATGTTTCTGAATGCACCTTATACAATATAAATGAATAATAATATGGTCACACAAGAGGAGATGGGAAGCCATTGTTTTCATTTGTGTTTACACCCGGGACGATAGTTCTACACGAGAAAATGAACAAAATAAGATCCTGGTTGAAGCTGTAGTAAATTTAATGTAAAAACGGAATATATGTATGTTTTAAGTAAAGATATTTAATGTTAATAAATGGAACAATAGAAGTAGCTAACCACTAATGGCAAAGAAAAAAAGAGATGGATTGGGAACACCAACATATATGTGCACATTTAAGGATACCGCGTCATTTATCTTAAGAATATGTACAAAAGATTCATTATTGTGTATTACTGAATATGTACAGTATTTGATTGAATTAATCTTTATACAGTACAGTCATGCACCGGTTAACGTCCTAGATACGTTCTTGGAAACGTGACGTTAACCGAAATGGATGTTGTCCGATCATCACATAAACTTTTTATTTATACTTATGTGTATGTGGAATACTATATATGTACATATACACTTTTACTGTTAAATCACTACTGTAATGTGATACAGGTGATTAATTTTTATCTCTTGTGCAAAATACATGACGATTATATTAAAATTATTCACTGTTTTACAAGGATTCCAGCAACGCCGGGCAGATGAGGGAGAGAGAGAGAGGGAGGGAGGGAGCGAGGGGGCGTGGGGGGAGGGGAGGTAGAACGTTTGACAGTTGGCACAAGCCCAGGTCTAACACGTGTATATTTATCAGTTCTTAGGTGACTAAGCTTCTCTCTTATAAAAAGCCAGTGAAATGACCTGGGTGAATATAATTAACATAGCTAGGATTCTTGTAACATACTGATTAATTTGAATATAAACATGCTATAATTTGCACTAGACAAAACAATTTTAGTACCGTAATCAAATTAGTACATGTGCACTCCAGCTTTGCACTAAGGTCATTTATTTCTATTACGTTTCTTTTAGTATGGTGTGTGCATGTAAATGGATGAAAATAAATGGAGAAATCTATGTAAATCTACTCAAAAATACAGTTGAAAAACTTTTTTATAAAATGTACTACAGTATTGTACACTAATGTACAACAATTTTTATCTCTTGAGCAAAATATATGACGTTTATATTAAAATTATTGGCTGTCTTGCAAGGATTCCAGCAATGCAAATTATAATCTCCTAACTTTAGTCTGAGATATTATATAAGATAAAAACTGTAAGCCTAAAAGCCTGGCTGGGGGGAGGGGGGGGGACTGACGGCTCCGCCACCCAGCGAGGGGGGTTGAGGTGATAAGTTTGAGGCGAAGGTCTGTGTGTGTTTATTTAACAGTCCTACTAAGCTTCTCTCATTTTAAAATGCCAGTGATATGACCTAGGAGAATATAATAAACATAGCTGGGATTCTTGTAAGATACTGATTTATTTGAATATAAACATGTTGTAATTCGCACTAGACATAACAATTTTAGTACCGTAGTCAAATTAGTACACGTGCACTCCAGCTTTGCACTAAGGTCATTTATTTATTTTACGTTTCTTTTAGTATGGTGTGTGCATGTAAATGGATGAAAATAAATGAAGAAATTTATGTAAATCTACCCAAAAATACAGTTGAAAAACCTTTTATAAAATGTACTACAGTATTGTACACTAATATACTAAATTTTTTATATCTTGAGCAAAATATATGACGCTTATATTCAAATTAATCTCTGTCTTGCAAGGATTTCAGCAATGCAATTTATATTATCCTAACTTTAGTCTGAGATATTATATCAAATAAACATAAAGAAATCACCAATCTTTTATTTTGGAACACGAGGGTGGTGGGAAGACCTTGATATTTACTCCAATTTTAAGGAATGTTAGCCCTAGAACCGATTTCTGTATTGGCGGACCAATCTTCCAGCTGGTGAGCAAGCCAAAGCATGTCGAAACATTTTCGTAAGAGTTTCGTAAACCGAATTTTTGTTCGTTAACCGAAATGAAGATTCTTATGGGTAATTCGTTAACTGAAATTTCATTAACCGCGGCGTTCGTTAACCGAGGGATCACTGTACTTATAACATACATACAGGTATTCAATTTTTTAAAATTAAGTTCACTACAGCTACAACCAGGGTCTTATTTTCTTCAGTTTCTTATGTTTCTTGTGTTTTAATATTCTACGTATTAATAATGATTTGCATTGTTCATTTCACATATATAAACATTAATTCAATCAAATACATATTCAGTAATAAACAATAATGAAACTTTTGTACATATTCTTATGATAAATGACTGTTTCCTTGAGTGCGCACGTATACATTGGGTGTAAAGACTGACAACAATGCCGTCTCTTATCCTCTTGTGTGTTTTAATATTCTATGTATTAATGAATTGTGTTGTTCACCTCGCATATACAGTCATGCACCGGTTAAAGTCCGACCGAACAACGTCTGATCGCATATACGTCCGTGCCCCAAAAAAACACTTGACGCCTGCTGGACCACCACTCCACGACCCCCTGACGGAGACACGATGATCCTCCCCATACTGGTCAGATATTATGTGTTAAAGGAATATGCTTCCTTACTTAGGCTTTTTTTAAGCATTTGCCTACAGGTGAAATGTTAACCTACATCTATTGAGGATAAAATCTTTCACCTACAAATTGACAATAACACATTTGCTGTAATCAGACATATCTAGTTGCCTCAACAATTGCAACCCCAGTTGCAATTGGGGTTGCAATTTCAAATTCTGTGGCATTACTAAAAATAGTAAAGTTTCTGGTGCACTCTAAGATTAAGAGA